GTGACTCCAGGTTGGTGTGTTAGTTTCCCAGGGTTGCCATGACAAAGTACTACAAAACTGGGTGCCTTCAAATAACAGATTTCATTGTTTCCCAGTTCTGGAGGTGAGAAGTCCAAAATTGAGGTGTTGGCAGGGCCTTGCTCCCTCTGAAGCCTATAGGGGAGAGCTTCTTCTGGCTTCTGTTGGTGACCAGCAATCCTCAGTGTTCCTTAAACTGCGGTGACATCAGTTTGATCTCTGCCTGTCATCACATGCTGTTCTCCTTGTGTGTCTCTGTCTAGATTTCCTTCCTCTTATAAGGACACCAGTCATATTGGATGAGGGACCACCCTAATGACCTCATCTTAACTTGGGTACATCTGTAAAGGCCCCATGTCCAAAAATATCACACTCACAGGTACAGGAGTTAGGGTTTCATGATATTTGGGGGGGGGTTGGAGGGGAGGGGACATCACTTAACCCCTAACGGTTGGGTAGGAAATCTGGTGCAGCATTGGGAAAATATTGACTGCCAAACCACTGTTTCTTAAATTGGTTCATATACGTGTCCCCTGAACCCCTTGTTAAAATGTGGTTTCCCATTCAGTAGGTCTGAGAGGGGGTCCTGAGAATATGCATTTCTAACGTACTGCTAAGAATGCCAGTGCTGGTCTAAGAGTACATCTAGGAGTAGCAAGAATCTACTCCTGTCCTGTCCAATACCGTAGCCACTTGTCCATGTGGATATTTAAGTTTAAAATTGAATGAAGATTCAATTACATAAACAAATTCAATCCCTTAGTCTCATTGGCCATGTTTCAAGTGCTCAATAGACACGTGTGCCTAGTAGCTACCATACTGGATGGTGTGGGATATAAAACATTTCCAGCATCACAGAATGTTCTACTGGATAGTGCTACTCTAGATCAGTGGTTCTCCAAGGAGATCCGAGGGCCACTTAGGAAATTGCTACTCATGCATGTTCTCAGGTCCCACCCCAGATCTACTGAATTGGCAAATCTGGAATTGGAGCCCAGTAGCATGTTTGAATAAGCCCTCAAGTTGACTCTGTAGGCGCATGCTCAAGTTTAAGAACCAGTTCTCTTTGGGTGATTTTTTTTTTCTTTTTGTAGGGACATAATAAGGATCTAAAACACCTGACTGTGACTGCAAAAAGGTCAGTGACTCAGGTTATCAAGAGGCATAATTACCCTCTTTTAATATCAGGTGTGAAGAAGTACCTTAACTGGTCCTCTTTTGGCCCAATCTGCCCCCAACAGAGCTTGAGACAAGAACTTGCATGCAGATAGTTTATTTTGGGATCTGGCCCCAGGGAACAGGGGCATGAAGAAGACGAAAGTTAACATAAGGGTGCATCACTGAGTTGATTGCTGCTCATCCCACTGAGAACCCTCTGGGGAACCTTGTAGGCTGGGTCACCGTGTTGCCCAACTGAAAAAGGGGAAATTACCAACACCCTCCATCGGTCAAGGACTGTACTGGAAAGTGTTAATTTTCTCACACTTTCAGTTTTGTTCATGCACCAAAATTGGCAAGTCGGCTCCAGCAGGAGTGCCATGGGCACAAGTGGAGCAGAGAAGGTGGGACAGAAAGCAGGAAAGGCACGACGCGGGTGAGGCTAGGTATCAGGTGGTTGCAGCAACAGTAAGGCAAAGATGCAGACCAAGTTGAGATGAGGCATAAAAATCATCCAACACATTCCCTGAAATGGGATCCTTACAGCAATTTGAAAAAGAGGAATAAAACACAGGGTGAGGGGGGCCTGGGTGGCTCAGTTGGTTAAGCATCCCACTCTAGGTTTTGGTTCATGTCATGGGATTGAGCCCCATGGTGGGCTCTGTGTTCAGTGGGGAGTCAGTTTGAGATTCTCTCTCCCTCTGCCCCTAAACCCACTCTCTCTCTGAAATAAATAAACCTTAAAAAAAAAAAAAAAAGCACAGGGAGGGAGAGTCAAAAAAGCCTTTTCTTTTATTCAAGGATAGTTTATAAAAATCTCTGCTACTGAAATGTTCACCGAGTCTGTAAAGATGCCTGGCATGGAGCAGGCACTCAGTGTAGTTACTCACGTCCTTCCATTTCCTTCCTCTGCCTCTCATTCTGAGACTTCTAACATTAAGGAATCTGAAAACTCACTCTTTGTCCCACATCAATATTATGAGCCATTCCCAGTATGCCTCTTAGCAGAAGTGAAGAATAGCGATTCTTGATGTTCATTTGTCATGGAGAGTGCCTTCAGAGGACCATGACCGTCACGCCATCCTGGGGCCGAATCCTGAAGAGCTACGTCAAACGCAGCACACTGCCCACGCCCTTTGAGGTTTTGACTGTGTAATTTAACCTTAAGAGTCTCTGAAACAATGTTTTGCTGTATGATCCAACCAATGGCATCAAGACCTACATAATTAGGGAAGCTGAGCTGGTGGTGGAGTATTCATAGGGGCTAATCATTATACTACAGGAAGTTGGTCAATAGCCCTTTGCCCTTTAAGCTCTGAACGCAGTGGGCAGGCTCCCAGCTTCCAACAAACATGTACTTCCTTTTCTGCCTTTCAAGCCTCAGATTTTCTTTCTCTCTTACTCTTATACATCTACCATGGGGCATGCACCTGGTGCCCCTACTGTTCACCCTCTAAGTACTGGACCATAGAGGCAACTTCCAGGAGCTTCTCTTTCTCTATCTGCAAACTGAAGATGAGAAGTTCTGCCTTCCAAGCCTTTGTAACAACTGAGACCATATATGTGAAAGGTCTTTATCCGGGAACTATATTCATACTCTACTCCAGATTCTTCTAGTTCTTTCCCTTTTTCTTTTTCCATCCCTCCTTTTTCCCCTTCTCTTCTTTCTCTTCCTCCACCTCCCTCTCCATGTTCCCCTTTTCAGTTTTCCTCCTGACTGGCCTCTCCCACGGGCTGCATGGCAGACTTTCCTTCACATCACTTGTGAAACATGGTTGTAGATTTCTTATCAGAAAAGATGGTGGAAAGAGCAGGACCCTACTTGACCATTTCATCTGCAAAGCCTAAGAGGAAATAAGAATAAGGGCTGTTAAAAAAAATATAAGGAGCTTCCTGTCATCCAGTTTGGTAACTTTGGTACATCCCGTTCAGAAAAATACGCTTTCCCGGCTCAGATGATCCTCTAATGTGGGCACCAGCTGCCCATTGAGGGTCAGGTCAGTAGGCAGAAGAGCAGGAATAGAAAACAGGTGGCCTCCATCTAAACCTGCCCCACTGACCAGTTGTACGCGGCCCAAGGATTTTTAAATGGAAACTTGCTCATATAAATCCCAGTTCCTAGTGTCTCTTGAAAAATGAGAAAACCTGGCAATATCTGGGTCCACATTTCTTCATGGCAATGATTGTCAGGAGATGGGTCGTAGGTGTACTTACTAGAAAGAGCACTCACATTCTCTACTTTACCCCCATCCCTGCTACTTCCTGTTGTAAATACTTGGCTGACGTCACTTATTTATGTTACCTGTCTGGTCCCCCGAAAGCATCTGGGTTCAGGAGATCCGTGTTCTCCTTTCCCTAAAGGCTGTTCTGCAGGACTATGAAGGTAGGGGGTGTAGAGGAAAGTAGGACCAGAGAGAAGACACTCTAGGCTTCTTTTTTTTTTTAAGATTTTATTTATTTATTTGAGAGTGTGCCAGCTCACGTGAGGGGGGTGCAGAGGGAGAGGGAGAAGAAGACTCCCAGCTGAGCAGGGAGCCCGAAGTGGGGCTCGATCCCAGGACTCCTGGGAACATGACCTGAGCTGAAGGCAGAGGTTTAACCAACTGAACCACCCAGGCGTCCCTCTAGACTTCTTTCTTTCTTTTTTTTTTTAAAGATTTTATTTATTTATTTGACAGAGAGAGAGAGACAGCGAGAGCAGGAACACAAGCAGGGGGAGTGGGAGAGAGAGAGAAGCAGGCTCCCCGCAGAGCAGGGAGCCCGATGCGGGACTCGATCCCAGGACCCTGGGATCATGACCTGAGCCGAAAGGCAGATGCTTAACGACTGAGCCACCCAGGCGCCCTAGGCTTCTTTCTAATTGCGGTAAAATATAACAACACAAAAGTTGTTATTTAACCATTTTTTAAGTGCACAATTCAGTGGCATTAATTACATTCACAGTGTTGTGCCACCATCATCACTATATTTCCAAAACTTTTCACTACCCTGAATAGAAACTCTGTGCCCCTTAAGAGGAACTCCCCATTCCTCCCCATTTACTCAGTTTCTGGTAACCTCCAGGCTACTTTCTGTCCCTATGAATTTGCCTATTTTAGGTAGCTCATACAAGTGTAATCACACAATGTCTGTCCTTTCGTGTCTGGCTTATTTCACTTAGGTTGTTTTCAAGGTTTCTCCGTGTTGTAGCAGGTGTCCATACTTCATTCCTTTTTATGGCTGAATAAAGTGCCATTGTAAGGATATAGCACATTTTGTTTATCCATTCATCCATCAGTTGACACTTGGGTTGCTCCCACTTTTTGGCTCTTTTGACTAGTGTGGCTTTGAACATGGGTGCACAAAGATCTGTTCGAGTCTCTTTCAATCCCTTAGGGTATATATCTAAGAATGAACTTGTGATCATCTGGCAATTTTAAGTTTAGCTTTTTAAGGAACCACAAACTGTTTTCCATGGTGACCACATCATTTTACATTCCCACCTCTGAACTTGAAACAACCAATCATATTCAACTGGAAGAAAGTCGTATTTACTTCATTGTTCTTCCCCGTTTTTCTTAAGAAGCACAAGACCCTGTTGGCTTTTTAGGGTGGCTGGGTGGCTCAGTCAATTAAGCAACTGCCTTCGGCTCAGGTCACAATCCCAGAGTCCCAGGGTCGAGTCCCACATCGGGCTTCCCACTCAGCGGGGAGTCCGCTTCTCCCTCTGACCCTCCCCAATGTTGTGCTCTCTCTCTCTCCCTCAAATAAATAAATAAAATCTTAAAAAAAAAAAAGAAGTACATGTCCCTGTTGGCTTTTCAAAAGACCACCAGAGAGACCTGTTGACCAATCAAAGCCATTTTACTAAACCTATTAAAGAAAGATGGATTATTATATCTTTAAAGGTTTTAACAGAGCTCTGGAAAGGGAAAGTCAGTGGATATGCCTGGTCTTGGAGATTTTAAGGCAGGTCTTGGAAGCTGAGTCACTGGTTGGCATTGGTAACTTTGGACTGGAGGGAACAATGAAGTGAGGGTCTTGAAGGCGGTCTTCCTAAAAAAGCTGTTGGCCTTGATGAGTAAGCTCTTCTAGTTCGCTCATAGTCTTATCTTCCAGAAGCAAGTGTTTATTTACTGGAGTTTTTGCCATGGGGACAATATGGCCCATCCCAGTATTGTTTAACACAGGCACAGGAAATCCTGTAGGTTTCCATCCTCACAGGTGAGGAGGGACGAATCTGTACTTTATATCACAGACTCACTGACTGGAAGGCACAACAGGAACAGGAGAGATGTAAGGACCGTCAGTGAAAGAGCTGGGGTGAGCTGTAGGCTGACAGTTGTAACGCTTCAGGCCAGTTCTCTAAACCTAGATCAGAACGAATTTCTGGACTCTTTGCTTGAATCCTAACTTGTGAATGCTTTGTTTTAATATTATATAAAATATATGCCCAATGTTCTCAGTCTTGTCAGCTATGGAGGTAATGGGTCTTACCTCCTTTCCTCAGTCAGAAAACTAACACACACACACACACACACACACACACACACACACACACACACAGTCCCTTTCTTGCCCACATCCTTCTAATCTCCACTTAGTCAAAAACTGACAAAGAGCAATGAGAAAAACTGGAGCACCTTCCCAAGACTCTGCATTGTTTAGAAAACACAGGCGAGGTGGGGCATTGCTAGAGGAAGGAGAGAGAGAAAGCAGTTGTCAGCCACGGTACATCAAAGGGCAGATGGAAACGACATAGTTAATATTTGCTGTAAGGTATGTGATTGTAAAATCTAGGCCAAAGTTTCTCACCCTCAGCACTGTTGACATTTTAGGCCACATACTTGTTTGTTGAGGGGGCTGTCCTGTGCGCTGTGGCAGGCTGAGCAGCATCCCTGGCCGCTGACCACTAGACGTCTGCAGCATCTTCCCCTTTCCATCTGTTGTGACAACCAGAAATGCCTCTGGGCATCACCACATGTCCCCATGGAAAGCAAAACCATCCCTGGTTGAGGAGCACTGTGTTATATCTTTAGCAAAGTCAACTTTGCTCATGGGGAACGGGAGGCCAACAAGATGAATGTGCTAGTGGGAAACAGGAAGGGACTATAGGCTTACGTCACTGGGACACTTTATTCCTGTACTAATGTTGTCCACCTGAGCCCAGCCTGCACACCTTCGAGTTTCTAATCAATGGTCTGACACCTGTTGCAAAGGCAAGATGAAACAGAGTTAGGTCTTCTGAGGGTTCCTAATTCCTCTGTGCTTCTTGTTAACTTCAAACAGTCCTTTATTACAGCATTTTACCTTATTCCTTAACACCTGCATTTCGGTTTCCTTCGTAGGCTGAAAGATTTTCTGTTACCATAACCACCCAACACAGTGTCTAAAATATCTTAAGCCTAAAGTCACACACTGCCAGGCCACACACCTTAGTTGGCCTGTGGCTATGTCTTATTTAGCTCCTTTAAACCTTGAGGATGTTGACATTAACATAGAGTTTCACAGCTTTTCTGGAAGAATCATAAGATGGTTCAACAGTAGACAAACACAGCCACGTTAGCAGGGATCCGTAATTCTTGGAGCTGAAAATCAGCTTCCTCGTTAGAAGAGGAACCCACTTAGCACTTTGCAGAGTTCCCTCCATCCTCTTGGTATTGCGGCTGCATCTCGTCTGGCCCCTGAAGGTATGTGAGTTTTCAACCACTAGTATAAGTGCCCCTAAAACATTGACAATAGCTGGTCTTTGATTTCACATTAGGTATCCTGATATTTTATGGTGAGGAAAGAAAGAAACGAAAATCACCATATAACAATTTGGAAACAAAGCTGAATTTATTCATTGGCCTGACCAAGGAGAACCGCCTCACTCACGTGCAAAATCAGCAGGTCTTTCCGAACGAAAATGGAAAGGGCTAGATATGTGTCAAATATGTACTGAGTATGAGTCTGATGGCTCCTGAGACAGATTGTAAATTCCTCTTTGCAACTGGACATTGCACAAAACAAAAGAACTTTCCAGGATGAAAGTTCTGGAAGGGAACCATAACAGATTCTGTGAGGTGCAAGTCAGCTTAGAGCCATGTAAATCTGAATGTGCAGGCTGAGGACCGGTAGAGAATTGTTCAACAATGGCGAATAATAGTAACTATTTTTTTAGAATTTATTTATTTATTTGAGGGGGAGGGGCAGAGGGAGAGAGAGAGAGAATCTCAAGCAGACTCTGCACTGAGTGCAGAGCTGGACACGGGGCTCGATCCCTTGACCCTGAGATCACTACCTGAGTTGAAATCAAGAGTCAAACGCTTAACTGATGGAGCCACCCAGGTGCCCCAATACTCACTATTATTCAGCAGTCAAGTGGTTATCTGAATGACTGAGCCAAAAGGTCTCCCGGGGTCTCATTTGATCGTCAACACTGGTCCTTTCTTTCTGGATCACTAAGAACGTCTTAGTGATGTTAGTCAGAGCCATTCAGTGGGTTGGAGTTGGGCTCCTTGAGTCCTGCAGCCCATTCTCTTTTCGCACCTCTGGGGAATTTCCCTGGTCCTTGAATTTCCCAAGCACAACACTAGTGCATTATACCAAGCAGACTCTCCCAGCTCCACAGGGAAATTAGGTCAGGCTGGGTATTTCCCGAAACAGGACTTTCATTTTCTCCAGCCAATGTGATAAATCAGTCAATCTCATGCCCATGGATTTTGGACATTAAAATAAGTTATTGCTCTATCAGTGGACCTGATTTTAGGCACACACATCAAAAAAACTTCATTCCCCTTGATCAGTAGTTGACAGGATGATTAATAACCACTTGACATTTTAAAAGTGAATTCTCAAGGCATGACAAATAGATGGAAATACTAACCAGTCAGCATGTTTACAAAGTGGTTGTCTCCTGTGAATCTAGTAATGTGAGAGTCTTTTTGATTTGGTTTACTAGATCATTAGAACATCTTTTCCTGACGAAAGAGAGAAAAGGAACCCCTCTAAGATGTTATAAGTACAATAGCATTAAAGGAAATGAAATTTGATATGTTTGGATAGCCTATGGCTTCTAGCAACTTGTTAAATGTTTTAAAGTTTCTGTCCTTAATAGCGCGTTCCTTTAAATTTTTTTTATTGTGGTAAAATATATATAAAATTTTCCATTTTTACTATTTTTAAGTGTATAGTTCAGTACCCTAATGTATTTCTTTTTAAAACTGCTATTTTGCTAATAAAAAATTGTGGAAGACAAATTCATTTAGGTCTAGTTTCACGTCTGTAAATGGGGACCCAATCTACGCCAGCAAAAACCCTATGCCCCAATTCTTTCCCCCTCAAAAGCCTCTGAAATTAAAGAGGTAAGACCATGGCTAAGTATAGACTTTATAGATTCCACTATTTATAAGAAACAGAACTCCAGGGGCACCTGGGGGGCATGGTCTGTTAAGCATCTGACTCTTGGTTTCAGCTCAGGTCAGGATCCCAGGGTCGTGAGATCAAGCCCCTGCATTGGGCTCCATGCTCAGTGGGGAGTCTGCTTGAGATTCTCTCTCCCCCTCCCCTCTGCCCCTTCCCCCTCTCTCAAATAAAGAAGTAGGGCGCCTGGGTGGCTCAGATGGTTGAGCGTCTGCCTTCGGCTCAGGTCATGATCCCAGGGTCCTGGGATCGAGTCCCGCATCGGGCTCCCTGCTCCTTGGGAGCCTGCTTCTCCCTCTGCCTCTCTCTCTCTCTCTCTGTCTCTCATGAATAAATAAATAAAATCTTTAAAATAAAATAAAATAAAGAAGTAAATCTTAAAAAACAACAACAGAACTTCAGTTATTCTTCTCTTTTCAAATCCAAAATGGGGTGGTTAGATTATATAGAAAGAATAAGATACTGAGATTTGATGAGATGAAAAACATTAAACTCAAGTGAAGAAGCCATGCCCAGTTTATCAACTATTGGTTGATAAATTTTAATCTATCCTATTTGTATGGTTTCTAAAAATCACAAAGAATGAAAAATAAAACATGCAATGCAACAGTAAAATTTGAGTAAACAAGTGTTCTTTATTTACCTTAAAAATGATTACTCTTTTAAAAAATATAAGCAGAAATAGGAGTGCCTGGCTGTCGCAGTTGGTAGAGCATGTGACTCTTGATTTCAGGGTCATGAGTTTGAGCCCCAGTGTGGGGGTAGAGCTTACTTTAATATATATTTTTTTCTGCATATACATATGCAGAAATAAGATTAGATACATATTTTGAACTTCTTTGTCTTCTCATAAAGCAAAGAAAAGCTTTGCTTCAAATGTATTTTAGGTATTATATAGGCCAGGTATTCCCAGATAGTCACATAAAGACCACTGGTAAGGAGTTGTTGACTGACCCCACTACCAATCCTTGGAAACCTGCAGACCAAATCTCCTCCCAGCAAGTTCCCACTATACATCTAAGTCCCATAATAAAAGAAAAGCCTTTTCAGTTTTCTCAGTGGGAGTGCTACTATGGCATTTGCTCCGGATTTATAAAATATTTCATTTCACTTCAGTTCCATCTCCTCATGGCCCTCAAAATTAATCTTCATCAATGTTGGATTATTTTTCATGATGCTGCAATCCTTCAATTCATTCACCTTCCTGTGTGGTATCATTTTACAAATTAGGAAACTGGAGCTATTAAAAAGATAGAGGGGCACCTGGGTGCCTCAGTCGTTAAGCATCTGCCTTCAGCTCAGGTCATGATCCCAGGGTCCTGGGATCGAGCCCCGCATCGGGCTCCCTGCTCAGTGGGGAGCTTGCTTCTGCTTCTCCCACTCCCCCTGCTTGTGTTCCCTCTCTCACTGTGTCTCTCTCTGTCAAATAAATAAATAAATAAAATATTAAAAAAAAAAAAGAAAAATTCCTGTAACCACACAAAGATCATTCCATAGCAAAAGGCTTTATTTTCATCTTTCATTTCAGCGGCTTTTTCCTTCAAGGAAATAAATCAGATTTAAATTGATTGTACCCAAGCTGTTATTTACCAAAGCTCTTTGCCTGCAATCCCAGAAGCTGCCACCAGGTGGTGGTGAGCCAATTTGGGTGCATAGGCTCTTCCCAGGGAGGTGTGAGGGTCTGACAAAGCTTGAGTTGTTTTACTTAAAAAAAAAAAAAAGGAGAGAGAAGAGGAAGAGAAAGAGAAAAAGAAGAGAAAGAGGAGAAGAGAAAGAGAAGGAAAAAGAGAAAGACTACCAACATCCCCACTGTTAGAACTGTTTTTATTTTTTATTTTTTATTTTTACTTTTTCAAAGATTTTATTTATTTGACAGAGAGAGAGAACACAAGTAGGGGGAATGGCAGAGGGAGAGGGAGAAGCAGACTCCCCGCTGAGCAGGGAGCCTGACACGGGGCTTGATCCCAGGACCCCGGGATCATGACCTGAGCCGAAGGCAGATGCTTAACGACTGAGCCACCCAGGCGCCCAGTACTGTTTTTTGTTTTGTTTTGTTTTGTTTTAAGATTTTATTTATTCATTTGACAGATGCTTAACGACTAAGCCATCCAGGAGCCCCCCAGTACTGTTTTTAAATTAGATATTTTTTATCTTTTTGAAACTTAAAAACATTTTAACATCACACAGATTTTAAAAGTAGTAATATGGTGATTCACTAACACTGATTCTGTCTTTGATCTCTTTCTTCATGTTTTTCCACTCTCGGCCTGCATTCCTCGTAGGAAGGCAGGAGGAAAGAACCACAGGGCTCAGCGCACTGGCACCCAGAAGGATCAGGGGACTTTTTGCCAATAGAGAGTGGAGGAAGGTTGGTTTTCATCAAGCCTAAGAGATAAGAAAATGACAGCCTTCTGGCTTAGTAAAGACAAATCATGGACAAGCAAAATTGAATTAAAAATTTAAAGAAAAATTCAAGTTTTCACTAAATCTTGGAGCCATGTTAACAACGGATGAGGCAACTTGCTCCAAATAATAGTTCCTGTGTGAAAGGCAGGGAAGTAACAGGAAAGCATGTGGAGATGAACAGAGTTTAGGTTTATTTCCACATATATGTTGAAGGCTCCCAGCTTATCTATTAGTAAGAATCAGCAGCTGCTGCTTCTGTTCATGCCCCAATTTTATA